GAGGATGGTAAGAGTGGAAAAGGGGGTAACAGATGTTCAAAAGGTAGAATCCACAGCAGAGGTCACTGATGGCGAGCCTGGGAGGCACGGTTTGTTTTGTACACGCTGCTCTTCAGCACCATGAACAGGGCCCTGTTGATTGAAGATGCTCAATAAATACTTGTTGAATCAGAGAGGTTGATAGGGACGGAGGAATCCAGATCGACTCCCAGATTCTCATCCCAGTGTGACTGATGGGATGATGGTGCTAGTATCCAAGATGAGGGTCCCAGGAAGAGGAGCTGGATTGCAGGGAAAGATTAATCCAGAAGCTATCTTTCTGGGCTGGAGGAAATGGAGCTGCATTGCACAATAGGGGTTGATGATAGGGAGCAGAACAGACTCCCACTTCTCAGGACTGAGGGCAATGAAGGATTTGAAGTGATCCAGAGACTGGAGGGGGGGAAAGTTTCAGTCATGCTGGAGGCAAAGGGAGAGTTGAAAACCAAGCGAGATTCAAACACCAGTTTCCTCAGAAGGCCAGGAGGGCAGGGCCCCGCTTCCGCGTTACCCACAACGAATGCCTTGTTGCCCTTTGTGTGGCGAGTACCGCAGCCCATTAGCCAAGGCAGAGGAGGAGGAAGAAGGTGTAATAAGTGATTCTAGAATCATAAAGACCTTGTCAGGTGCCCACACTACCAACTTTGCTCCCACTCCATATTCATCAACAAGATGGACGGGCAGGGTGCTCACAATTGCTTCCTAGGGACTTGTTCTTGACCAAATCCAATCTCTCTATTCAGGGAAGGATGTGAAATATAACCTGCTCTCCTGCTCTTAAAACCGAGAGTTCTGGTCATCACCTCGAAAGGCTGCCCCCTCTGCGAAGAGCTCCCTCAAAGCTACTGTCCCTCCTCCTTCCCCTACCCCACCCACCCCTGCCCAGGCCCAGCCACCTCCCACCCTCCGCTGCCAATTCACCTTTAAACAGTCTCTCATTTGTCTTCTCCTTCTCTTTCTCTGACACACTCCCCTCCCCTGGAAGCCTTCCCTGCCCCACCCTCCCCTGCACCCTAGCACTGATTTCCTGAACTGAACCCTGCAGCTCTCAGCTCCAATCTCATCCGTCTTTGTCCCTCTTTCCAGCCCTCACCTGAGCCTTCCATGGCTTGGCCGCAGAGTTCTTTGGGTCCTGGGTATGATTAACGGCATTTCCCTATGTCATCCCTGGGTTCTGGGGCTGGAATGCCTTTACCATCCCCGGTGCTCCTCTTTTGGGGGGGCCAGAGCATCACTTAAGTTTTGTTTGGCAGAGTAAGGCATTTCCTTCTCTCAGAATAAGAGCCGTTGTAGATCCACGTCACTCGACGCCCTTTCCTAGGAGTACTTGTAATTTAGACTTGTTCTTTATTCACGGAGTTTTAAATATCACCAAGAAACGGAGTAGGCGGAGGGGGAAATCTTGGAAGAGCTGGTCAGGGTCCAGTCAGCCCACTTCTCCATGAGCCTGCCATGTGAAGGCGTGCTGGGATCCACTCGAAAGGCCTTTTGTCCTCTGGATCCAACCCCTAGAGTCACCAAAGGACCAACCTAATGATCCTCAAACCATGCTGTGACCAGTCCCCTCCCACCTTGAACTTGGGCAGGCTTCTGACTTTTATCAGAGCAATACACCCGGCAAAATACCACCTCACTGAACCCCCTACACTGACCAGAGCTCTAAACCGTCAGAGTCACACTGTGTGACTTAAACAGGTAGACACTCAACATGGCTACCCCAAGTCACGTGACCTCCCCAGCTAACCAAGGTTCTTCCTTGGCGGGGAAACTATTTGGATTCTTTTTCCTACTTTTTCACTATCTGGACGGTTAAATTTCTCTGCAATCAATATATATTACTTGTGCCATTAAGAAGAAAGTAAAACTTTAGAAAGACCAGGAGTTAGGAAGTATAGCTACAGGGGGCCATGGAGGTGGCTTCTGCTGAGTTGGTAACACAGCCCGAGTTAGGTGTGTGTCCTGTGGATGTGCTAATGAACAAAGGGCCACCCCACGGCAGCCTTGAGCCCTGGGCAGCCCCACACCCGGCCAACAGGGGCACCTGCAGGGGATGAGAACGCAGGCAAAGAGAGGAAGGGTCGACAAGACCTGGATGGTCGAATTCCTTTCACAGCCATAAAACTTAAAAGATCTAAGTGACAGGAAGCTTTGGGGTTTTTCTGTAAGAATCCAACCAATTTTAGGTGTTATGCTTTGCAGCCTTCTATAAAGTATGCTGTTCACCCAGTTGATGATTAGTGGTTCAGCTAGTAATTATTAAACAGGAAGGAATCAGGAATAAGTTGCTGTAAATTTAAACTGAACACTTCATGTTCTGAATGCTAAACTTGAAGGTTAAACATTGGGCAGGTGGGAACAGTAGCGTGGTTTGTATGTTTTGCTCTTTTAAAGAGTAACAAAGTTAGAAACCCTGGCTCTTTTCCAGGCTCTGTCCCTAATGTAAAGATTCTCAAACTTTTCTGCCAAAGTCCCTTATTAGAGAGAGGTAAGTGAATGGACCCCAGCAGTCTGGGGACTCAGCTTGAAGGGCTCTGGCCAAGGACCAGGCCTCTTTTGAAGCCTTTGGTTTTATTTTTTATATTATTATTAAAAAATTTATTTATTTGAAAAAAAATTTTTAATGTTTTTTTATTTTATATTTGAGAGAGAGAGCACACAAATAGGGGAGGAGCAGACAGATGGAGACAGAATCTGAAGCAGGCTCCAGGCTCCAAGCTGTCAGTACAGGGTTCGACGAGGGCCTTGAACTCATGAGCAGTGAGATCATGACCTGAGCCAAAGTCAGATGCTTAACCAACTGAGCCATCCAGGTGCCCCCCAAAATTTATCTTTATTTTAATTTATTTTTGAGAGAGAGAGAGAGGGTGAGTGGGGGAGGAGCAGAGAGAGACAGAGACACCGAGTCCGAAGCAGGCTCCAGGCTCTGAGCTGTCAGCACAGAGCCTGATGCGGGGCTCAAACTCACAATCCAGACCGTGCGATCATGACCTGAGCCGAAGTCAGATGCTTAACTGACTGAGCCTCCCACGTACCCCAGGCCTTAGGTTTTAGCTTTAAAACTATGCAACCTGGGCATTTTATTACATAGCATATTTTGTGTGTGTTAAAATAAAATGATGTTTTAAACTATTTGCCATCAAAACCTCTGTGGTACTCAGAGAAGCTTCTTATGTATCCTGTGACACCTTTACCATGCGGCCACTGCAGTGTGGCCCTGGGGCACCGGCACCCCGGGTGAGCAGTGCTTCTGTGTGTGGCCCCCTAAGTTCCTTCTCTGATTCTTTGATTTGTCATACTTTTCCGCCACTGTCCAAAGTTACATCTCTGATGACGACCACTTAGCGAGCACTTCCTGTGTGCCAGGCTCCATGCCAAATGCTTTATATGCATTGTCGTTTAAATTGTCACAGCCACGTGGAACTCAGCGAGGTGAAGTGGCTGGCCTAAGGTCACACAGGTGTCAAGGGGCCAAGTGAGTATTCCGACAGCAGTCTGATCGACTCCAAGCTGCCTCCCGCTGCCTCAGGGAGGCTGGAGCCCCTGGCTAAGTGAGTGGCAGCCTGCCTGGGAAGGAGATCGTTTGTGGTGCATCTAGAAAGAGCGTGTAATATAGGAAGCGTCATTTTCTCCAAGTTTCAGCGATAAGGAACTTTCTCTGAAGGGACGCCAGGTCTTGACCAAAGATCACCTCTCCATTTCCCTGCTTGGCCCTTGCAGCCCACCCTGGAGGGAGTTTCCCCCAGCAGGCAGGGCTTCCTGAGCGGCCACGATGCTGTGGGCGGATAGGCTCTCTCCTCCTGGGCCCTTTCCCCCTAAGCCGGCGTCCCAGGCACCTCTCCCAGTTTGGAAAGCAGATTATTTATGGTTTATTTTTGACACCAGATCATCGCTGCCCAAGTTTCATCAATTTGTCACTGTTTTTATTGTCAGCAATTGCCCATAACTGGAGCACATTTAAAATGTCATTGATCTTGGTATTACAGTGTCATAATCTGACAGTAATAGGTGTAGCCAGCACAGGAAGCCCAGGCCCTGAGATTGATGGCGTTCAGCACACCAATTATATTCTGTCCATCTAAGTGATAAAAGAGTACGTAGGAGGCATTCAATAGATAAATTAGATATCGCTCCCAATTATGTCCCTTTATTTTATGGAGTCATATGTTCCCCTTAGAACTTTTTTTCTTCATTTGGCTTGTAAAGGGAGCGTTACTTGACCCCCCAAAGACGAGGGCTGCTCCCCTGCCTGACCCACCTTAGGTTTCTCCCTGGTCCCTGTCTACCTTCTAGAAGTTTCTCACCAAGGCTCTTCCTGAGCTCACCTAGGAGGCGCCTGGCATGCAGTGAGTGGGCAGAAGAAGGAGGTAGAGGTGCCCCAGTGTCTTTTGGGAAGGACTAGGAGGTCGGATGGTGCCTTTTGTTAATGTGACCCTGGCTGATAAGTCAGATGGGGTGGGGAGCCATTGCATAGGCTACCATCCTGCAATCCCAAACCAGCAGAGCCTTCAAATTAGGACAACTAGGGAACTGCTAGGACTGGGGAGGAAGAGGACGGTCAGAGAGCTTTCAGTCCGCAAGAAGTGAATTCATCCAGCTCCTACCTCCACTCCAGCCTGAATTGAGCCAATTCAAACCTTTCCTCAGAAGAACCCCCAGAGCCACCTGCAGCCCCGTTCCAGGCCGATGCCTTCCTCAGCTTGACTCCCAGCACTACCACTGTGCCGGGAGAGTGAGGCAGCTCTCCTGGGGAGGCGGCGGGCTCCCTGCTGGAGAGCAAGCCCCACAAGCTGCTCTTTTTTTCCAAGACGGAGTGCGTGGTTAGAAATGAGAGACAGGGAATAGAGGTGCCCGGCGTATAAAGCCCTTAAACTCCAAGGACAGCCTCGGCCTGGTCCAGACCCCTGTTCCCCAAACTCCATGTCCCCCTGAAGCCGGAAGGAAACACACAAGAGGCCGAGACATCAGGTGGTAAACAGTGTGCCAGGTCCATTTATTGAGCTTTGCAAGCGGAGGCATCCACGGGCCGGGCGGCTCCCCACAGCCTGTTGCCACCTCAGCTGTTATAAATAATCCTGGCACTAAGTGCCCTGTTACACGGAGGGGAAGTTGTTCTTACAGTGTGAAACCTGAGCATATGGGTCAGGGGAGGAGGGATGATGGGGGGACAGGAGAGAGAGAATGGGGAGTCATCGCCCCGAGGCTTCTCAAGTACACCCCCGAGCTGGTGATAGATGAATTTCTGGAGCAGCGGATGGCATTTCAAGTGAAATGTTTATAGGAAGCGAGTGTGATTTAAACAACGTCTTGGCCGATAAACACCAGCCAGCTGGGGGGAGAGGGCAAAGCGAGGGGTAGAGGAATCAAAGGCCTGGAGGCCCCCAGTGTTAAGTAGCTGTCTGAAGCTCTGCTCAAACACACACACCAGCTTTGGTCTTAACATGTTTTTAAGAGCGGGTTATGATTTCCTTGAGGGCGGCTCAGATTAAGACTAGAGTAGAGCCCCAACTGAGCGCCTTCAATAACTGTCCATCACGTCGTCTTTAAAGACAGCAGCCTCCTTCCTCCCCTCGGCTCAGGGAGCCTGAGACCGGGGGAGGACTGCCAGGCTGCCCAGCTTGTCAGCCGGTTCCTAGGCAGCAGTGGGCCATCTGCCCTTGAACGGGTGCTGCCCCAGGTGCTGGGGCAGATCCTGGGGCAGGAATTGAGCCCCGCCCTCAGAAAGCTCTCAATCTTCCAGGAAAGAGAAAACACACAACCTGGAAAAAAAAGAAACAAAGTGAACAGAGCAAAAGGACGGAAGCCGAGGCAGAGAAAATGGTCACCAAATCCATAACCCTTGTCACCGCGTGCACTGCTGCCACCTGGTCTGAGCCACTTGCCTCTCACGTGGACTAGTGCAGTAACCTTGCCACAAGCCCCCTGTGTCTTCTCTTGCCCTGTGCAAACCATTCCCAGTACAAAAGGCAGAAGGACCATTTAGAACCTGGCACCGCGTGTCTTTGCTCCCTGCTTCCCTAAGAGTGAACGAAGATCAAAGTCCTCAAGACAGTGTTCAAGGCCCTGCATCATCATCTCGCCCCGCTGTCATCCTCCCCTGCTGTCCTTGCTCACGCCCTTCCAGCTACTCTGGCCTCCAGGCTCCACACACTTGCCAGGCACGCACCTGCCCTAGGGCCTTTGCACCCCCTGCTCCCTGTGCTTGGAACACCCTTATTTATAATATCTGTGGGCCTTACTTACCCCTTCACCTCTAAGTCTTTGTTCAAATACTATATTCTCAATGAGACCCCCGCTGACTCCATATTTGAACTTGCAGACCTCTCTACCATCCTGTTTTTTTAAATGTTTATTTATTAAAATTTTTTTAATGTTTATTTTTGAGAGGGAGAGAGAGACACACACACACAGAGTGAGAACAGGGGAAGGGCAGAGAGAGATAGAGACACAGAATCTGAAGGAGGCTCTAGGCTCTGAGCTGTCAGCACAGAACCCGACCTGGGGCTTAAACCCATGAACTGCAAGATCATGACCTGAGCGGAAGTCCTAAGCTTAACTGACTGAGCCACCCAGGTGCTCCTAATGTTTATTTATTTTTGAGAGAGAGAGAAGGCATGCTCGAGAGTGCAAGCTGGGTGGTGGGGGGGGGGGGGGGGTCGGGGGGGGGGGACAATCCAAACGGGGGAGGGGCAGGGAGAGAGGGGGACAGAAGATCTGAAGTGGGCTTTGTGCTGACAGCAGAGAGCCAGATGTGGGGCTTGAACTCTCGAACTGAACTCTCGACCGGCCAGATCGTGACCTGAGCTGAAGTTGGACGCCTAAACCACTGAGCTACCCAGGTGCCCCTGGCCCCTGGACTTCTCCACCATCCTGATCCCGCTTCCCCTGATCTGTTTTTTTTGTTTTTTCTTTTACTTAAAAAAAAAATTTTTTTTAATGTTTGTTTATTTTTGAGACAGAGAGAGACAGAGCATGAACAGGGGAGGGTCAGAGAAAGAGGGAGACACAGAATCTGAAACAGGCTCCGGGCTCCAAGCTGTCAGCACAGAGCCCGATGCGGGGCTCGAACCCACGGACCGCGAGATCATGACCTGGGCCGAAGTCGGAAGCTCAACCGACTGAGCCACCCAGGCACCCCTGTTTTTTCTTTTAACATTTATTTATTTTTGAGAGACAGAGTGACAGAGCATGAGTGGGGGAGGGGCAGAGAGAGAAGGAGATACAGAATCTGAAGCAGACTCCAGGCTCTGAGCTATCAGCACAGACCCCGATGCAGGGCTCGAACCCACAGACGGCAAGATCATGACCTGAGCTGAAGTCGGATGCTTAGCCGACTGAGCCGCCCCCAACCCCCGCCCGGCGCCCCGACCCTGATCTGTTTTTTTTTCTATACCCCTATCACCTTCTAATATACAATATGGTTTACCTATTTAATAAATATATTGTGTATTATCTGTCTCTTCTGCTAAAATGTAAGCTCCACAGAGGCAGGGGTCTTTCTCTGTTTTTTTCACTGATGCATCCCAAGGACCTGGAATAGTGCTCAATAATTGCTTAGTGAGTAAATATGAAGGATGAGGTTAACCAGGGGAGGGTTTGGAGAGGAAGACCGGGGGAGGCCATCCCAGGTGTGGGGTTAACTTGGGCCTTATCTCACTATGGGCCATGTGTGAGCATCTGGGAGTCAAGGTGATGGGTACGGTGCAAGATTGGGCCAGCGCATCGCCCAAAAAGGAGAGATTCAGTTGCCAAAGGGACTGGCCTGGATTTACCCCCTGCTGGAAGACTTGGCTTTGGGTTGGGATTTCCTCATCTCCACGGCCAAAGTGTAATTTGGGCTAATAATACCAAAGGGATGTGCCAAGCAAGCATGACGTGGTTGGCAGTAACAGCTGGGCCAGGAGTCAGAGGCCTTCAAGGTGGGGAGAGGGTGGCTGATTGCGTACGTGGGGCGGGGGAGGGAACCAAGTCACCATCTCCAAGAGGAGGATCCCCCTCCCACCGCCACTGAGGGCAAAATAAAAGGTCCTGGGCTGCACCTGGAGTAGAAGGCAGTGGAGCGAGGCATCAAGAAAGACTTGCCAACCGTGTAACAGGTGGTAGAGGGAAGGTGTGGAGCCTTGTGCGCTGGGGATCCCGAGCAGGCTAGGCTGATGCCGAGGGCCCTGCAGGCCTGTGAGAGAGACCATGGGATGGCAGGGTGGAAGGCCAGGCCCTTGAGCAGCTTCTGCCTCTGCCCGGCCCCACCCCTCCCTGTCACCTGCAAGGCTTCCAAGCTCCTAGGGCGTGGGAGGGGAGACTGACAGCATTTGGTGCCCCAGACCCCACCGGTCCACGTGCGGGCCTTTAGCACTTCTCCTCAAATCCCCGGTGCTCAGCTCAGCTTTGTGGTGACTTCAGGGGACAAGCCAGGCGAGGTAGAAAGTATCTTTGGAGACGGATACAAGATAGTGGTTGGTGTGGTAATAATGGAGACAGGACCCGGGTGGCCTGGGAGTGAGACTTACTTGTCACTGTATCACTTTTGGTGCCTTTTGAGTTTTCAACCACGTACATGTATTTCCTATTCAAAAGACATAAAATAATTAAAACGGGACAAAACAACCACAGCAGCAACAAAGAATAGATCCAGGGAAGCAGGAACCTAATGCCTGCGATGGCTACGCTGAGGACGCTGACCTGGCCCTTCCGTCCCCTCTGCACCCTCCTCCTCATCTGGTATCTCCGTTCTCTAGAGGGCCAGAGAGGGGTGTGGCTGGTCTGATGTCACACAGCATTTAGGGGCTAGCAAAGGTCTGTGGCCAGGTGTCCAGACTCTGGAAAGTTGACAGGGTCAGCTTTCTCTCTCGGTCTTCAGTGGTCTGTTCTCCCCCTTGACCTGTCCATGTTGTTTGCAAGGCTGTGCATATGCTACAGATCAGCCTTCAAAGAGGCATCCTTTTTTTAAAGATTTTTTTTTTAATGTTTATTGATTTTTGAGAGAGAAAGAGACAGGCAGAATGCAGGCAGGGCAGGGGCAGAGAGAGAGGGAGACACAGAATCCAAAGCAGGCTCCAGGCTCTGAGCTGTCAGCACAGAGCCTGACCCAGGGCTCAAACTCACAAACAGCAAGATCATGACCTGAGCCAAAGTCCAACGCTTAACCTACTGAGCCACCCAGGCGCCACCACCCCCTCCCTCCAGAGAGGCATCTGAAAAGGTGCGTGGTCTTAAAGCTATCTTTCTCAGAGTGTTGCATCTTTCCGGAGCTCTCCTCTGTGCCCCACTCCCCTCCATGTGCATCTGATAGTTTATTCCTTCCCTTCCTGCCTCCCTCCTCTCCACCTCTCCCGACCACCAAAGTGGCTCTCCACTGCAATTCAGCCCTGCCCGTGACAAGACACGTGACCCTGAGCCAGTCATTTAACCTTTCTGTGCCTCTGTTTCTTCATCTATAAGCGCGGAGCGTGACCTTCCTCCCACGGCTCCTCATTCATCCATTTGTACAACAAGCGTGTATTCTGTGCCAGGCGCTGAACCCAGCACCGAGGATCACGCGAGACAATATGTGTGGAATTAGTACAGAGACACAGAGAGTTATTGCCCAGGCCTCCTTCCTTGGATGCTTTGCTGGGCTGGACGCTCTATGTCCTCGTCTACATGCCCCTGGAAGAATTTCTTCAGTCTATGCCCAACCTCTCAGCTTCCAAAACCGCTCCTGACATCCTCCTCTGGAGAAAGTGTCAGAGGCTGCAGCAATAGCCTTTTTCCCAGGCGTTTCCACTGGACTAGATCCCGAGGGCCTCACTTTGCCTGCAGTAAGGAATAATGCTGAAATTCGCCTGTGGGTCTTTGGTCTGGAACTTGAAGAGTGTCCACCTCTCTTGCCCTCTGGGGACCCCAACCCTGATAATCTGCTCATGTCCTCCTCTGCTCATGTCTCTCCCTTCCTGAGCCTCACACCGCCTTGGGGACTGGCACAGAGGCAAAGATTCTGGACTGGAAACTCTCACATATGCCTCCCTCTAAATCCAACCTGGGCTGTGGATGAAAGCTGGTCCCTTCTGTCAAACAACCACCACAACCTCAGAGCATAAAAGAGAGCTTGTTTCAGATAGAGGAAAGAGAAGTTTCCAGAGCTCTTGGAGAGAGATTGTCCCCACTCGCTGCCTGGCCATTGAAGATTGGGTGAGTATGACTTGGAGGGAGGGATGTTTGTGGAAAAGGTGTGCCGCTTCGGCCTTGGTCACGACAAAATCCCAAGTCAAGTCAAAGCGATGATGCTGGACAATGGGGAAGGAGGGAGACACATCCTGTTTGTTGGGAACAGGCTTGAGGAGAGAGGTTTCGTGAGGGGTTTGATGGAACCACTCAGGTCCCCCGGAGGCAGGAGGAAGGAGATGACCTGAGCCTGCAGAGGATTTGGGGATGCCATGATGTCGCAGGGACTGTGGGGAAGCCAGGGACATGTCAGCTCATCTGTGTCTAGAGCACAAACCCCACGGACAGGGACCAGGTTCTCTCAAACTGCACAAAGCCTCACACCGGGCACTGGAGAATCTGACTGAGGAGGGCAAGTCCTTCCCTGGAAGATGCTGCCAGCCCCGCCCTCAGGAAAGGACAGCTGCTTTAGAGTCCCAGCAAAAAATGATTCCAGACTGTGGAACCCGGAAGTGCTTCATGGACAAGTTCCTCAGTCCTGCCTACCACAGCCTGCTTTGATCTCACGGTTACTGTGGGATGTCGCCCATCCCCAGAAGACTAACTGAGCAAGGAATAAGGGTCTTGCTTTCAGGTCTAGTCTGTGGACCACGGGAGGCAAAAGAAGTTGGCCAAACTTCCAAGCACCTGTCTCAGCTCCTGGGGAGCCCCATGGAGCATGAAGGAAGGGGTTCCTCTATGGAGCTGCCACAGGCCGTGAGAATGGATGCACAGCAGCAGAGGGCAAGGGGGGTGGAAAGGCCAGAAGAGGTGGGGCTCCTAGAACCCCTCCTGGCTGCAGGTGAGGGAGCTCCTCTGGGTGGTCAGGCCCCTTCCCCCTGCCCAGGACAGACTGCAGCTTCTGGAAGGCAGGAGCTGGTCCTGCATCCTTTAGGCAGCCCCGGGGCCCAGCACAATGCAGACACTCAAAACTCATGTGTTGACTGAATAAATGAGCCTGGGGGCCAAAAGCTAGGCCAGCCAGCAGCTGGAGTCGGCCTTGGATACGGGCTCCCCCCATTTGGGCCTCAGTTTCTCCATGTGTATGTAATGTGAGGGGGCTGCCCTAGCTTATCCCTAAGGTTCCCAGCAACCTGTTTGATTGCTCTCTTCTTTTTTCCAAATTCTCCCCCCGCCCCCCCCCGCCCAGTAAAACCCTTCTCTCCCACGAATTCTCTCCCATTCTCTGCACCCCTGCTCAGTGCCTCCCCCCCACCCGCGCCAGCCAACTTGCTCCTGTTTCGCCCTTTACAGGTGTTTCTCTTTCTGCTTCTGGCCATTCCTCCCAGCATGCCCCGGCCCCCTCCCCGGAGCCTCCGTATTGGGGCTCCCCTCCCTGCCCCTCGCTGGTTCTAGCGCCCCCTTCAGCGCCCTTAGGCTCCAGGGCGGGAGCTGGGAGGAGGGGGGTCCCAGAGCAGCCTTGGGGCCTGCCCAGGTCCCCCTCCCCGCAGTGGTGCCAAAGCGCGCCCTCTCCCCTCGCTAATGCGATCTGGAGAGACCCCGGCGGGCGGCGGGCAGTCTGGGCTGAGCGTCCCGGGCGGCGCTGATGGATGGTCCCCTGACAGTAATCGCGGAATGAGGACGCGCTGGCGACGCTCTCGCCCGAGGCTGGCTGTTTGGCTAGCCCGGGAGTCCCTCCTCCAAGGCGCGGGGCCCCCAACCCACCTGGCTTTGGAGAGGCCTGCGGCCTCCGGGTCAGGGCTGAGATGGGGTCTCTCCCTGCCCTCTCTCCCTCGGAGACCTCGGTTTCTGTTTTGAAATCATCCTTGGGTCCTATGCTGCAACTGTGATTCTGAACAAGCCACTCACTCATCTGTCTCCAGCCTCAGTTTCCCCTTCTGTATAATAGGAAATAATGGTCTTTCCAAGCCTGGATGGAGAGTGTTAACAGCCAAGGAGAAAACACGGGGGGGGAAATTACCGTCTCCCTTAAGCTGAAATTGATTTTCACTTTTAGTTCACAGTGCTCAGAAGAATACAGGCTAATGTACTGCTCGGAATGAGAGCTGGGTGGATATCCACACACAGAACATATGTTTATGCACGTCCGCATGTCATATAATGTTTTGGGGTGTCTAATAAGTATACCTGAAAGTAAGAGATGGCAGTCAGCGTTGCTAACGTGTGTTTAAAGAGAAGCACAGCAGCGCGACATTTCTCCAGGGAGGTGGCCGCCTGGAGCAGGACCCTTCCTCCACTCTACTGAGACCCGCCCACTCACCTAAACCTCATTCCTTATCCTGTCTTGGGATCCCCTTCAATCCAGGGCTAGGCTGACTCAGGGCTGTGAGGAGAGAATCCTTCTTGGGGAAATGTTCTCAGACGATTTCCCAGCCCCCTCACCCACTTCCGGGTGACACAGAGTTCTAAGGCTCTTCCACTCCTTCAACCCAAGGGATCCCCATGGGGGGGGCGGGGGGGGGGGCTGGCCCTGCAGAGGGGCCGGGGGCAAGGATCCAGAACCAATTACAATTCTGAGAGCACACCCAGACGCCTCCTCACTCCCTTTTAACCTTTCTCTCTCGTCAGGAACCAAATTGAGTTAGTCTTGAGTTTTGATTTAATTCCCGAAATGGAGTCATAATCTGTTTAGTGTCCTTTTTCCCAAGTCCTGGGTACTGAAGTGTGCGTGGGGGGTGGGGGAGTTAATGAGAGAGTTGCTCTGTGGCCTGTGGAGAACCCTCACACACACTTAACCTCCCAACACCACCAAAGAGCAGGAGACACCAGGAATGCCACTGGTGGTATAATGGTGATGGTGATGGTGATGGTGATGACAATGGTGATGTTGGAGATGCCGGCTAGTATTTACTGGGCGCCTACTGTGTGCCAGTACTGAGCTGGGCCTCGTACATGCATCTCTCCCAATGACCTTCCAGGGAGGTACCATGAATGTTTCCAATTTACAGATGTAGAAACTGAGACTTCGGTTAATTTCAGGAGCTTATGCTGCGTCCACAGCTATTCATTGAACAGCAGAGCCCCAATGTAAAACCACACAGTCTGTGCTCTTCTCCACTTAGCTGGGTGAGACAGAAAGTTCTACAAGCCCCAGCTCCCTCATTTGCACAACACAAACAATAAATAGGGATAATAACACGCTCCTTTCATAGGGTTGTTCTGTTGATTAAATGAGATACGTATTTGCTGCATTCAGGGTAAGCATTTAATTGCTTAAGTGCCTTCAACACTGGGGTGGATGGAGTAGGGCAAAGGAGTGGGTACAGTGCTGGGGGGGGGTGACTGTTTATTATAAGTTGTTCCTGCTGATAATAATAGCATGTATTAGAGAACGTGCTGGGCACAGGCAGTCCTACAAGGAAAAGATTGCTACGCCTGTTTCACAGATGAAGAAACTGAGTTTCAGATAAATTAAGTAAATGG